GCTGGATTCCTGGGACCGCCTGCCCGGGGCTACGCCCAGCCAGGAGTCTCCAGAGGTGAGGCTGCTGTTTAAAGCCTCGGTGCCAAGAGGAGACCCCACATCTCAAGGAAACCCTCCAAGAGGCCTCTGGAGAAGCAGTAGCAGCAGCGCGGGGAGGTGCAAGGTGCGTTCCTGCCTTTGAAGCTCCGCGTGCGGGCCCCATTGAGGGCCTGATTTGTTCCTCGTCCTGGGAGCTCACCTGGGAACGCTGGGTAAAATGTCTGCCAGTGTTTGGATTGCTTTTTCATATCTAATAAGCTCCTCAGTGACTTAGAAGAAAGCGCTTCAGATCCGGGTGAGCACAGGAGGGGGGAGGCCGGCAGGCATGGATCGGAGGGCCGTGTTCCAGGGGAATTCCAGCGCAGGCCAGGAGTGGGCTCTCTGAGCCGTAGGCCCTCAGCGCCACAGGTTCCCAGACTGGACCCCGACTCTTCTGGGGCTGCTTTGGAAGGAAGGGTTTGGAGCATTAGGATTTAAAATGCCGGAAATGCTGTGAGATCCTGCTGTGCCCCTGCCCTGCCGACCCCATCCCTGCACCCAGCCCAGGGAGTAGGCAGCTGTTCTGCGAGTGGAGCTGGTGTTCCATCGAGGCAGCGGGACCGGGTGAGCGGAGGTGGGGTTCTGTGCCTCCAGCCAGGGCTGTGGCGCCAGCCTCTGTTCTGGCGGTCTTCAGAATCCTGTCTCATAACGGGAGGCATTTTGGGCTGCTTTTTGTTCAGATGAAATCATCTCTTGCTCTCCTTAAGACTGCCAGCTCCATCTCTCTCCCTGTTGCGCCCCAGCTACCTGCTTAGCTTAGAATCATGGTCAGCACAGCCTCAGTGCCTGTGTGGCCCTGGGTGGCAGTGGCGATGGTGCAGATGGCAGGGGAGAGCCTACCTCCTGGCTCTCGGCCCAACCCTTTCACTCTGGGGCCTGTAGGTTGGGCCGGGCTGGGCTGAGGCTGTGGTCCAGTCTGCAGTGAGAAAGTACAGCCCTCTCTCAAGGCAGAAAGGATCCCTTGGGCCTCCCGGCAGCCCTTCTGCAGAGAGCCCTGCCCCTTCAGTCTTTCCATGTCCTCGGGGCCGTGTGGGATGGCGGGGCTCCCATCCATTTCTGAGGAGGAGGCTGAAGTCTGGGGGAGAAGTCCGGGTCACACACAAGCTGGGACGGGGGCTAAAATGCACCCGAGCATCTTCAGCAGGTCCCTAGGTGGCAGGTGCAGACTGAACGGGAAGGGGCGCGTGACTGTCTCACCCAGGCTTTGCTCTGTGCCAGGTGAGGGTCCACCCATCTGCTGATGATGAGGCTGCTCCTCCTCCTGTGTCTCGGTGAGTATCCCTTCCCACGCCCCAGGCTCTGCTATGTGACAAGGAGGTCACAGTGGAGGCAGGAGCAAGCTTACCGAGTGTGAGCAGCGCTTGTAGTCCCTGGAGTTTGGAGCGCTTGTCCAGTGGGGACGCTGGTTAGAGTCCCCCTCCCTCGGACCTGGGGACAGGGATTCTCTGCCCATCAAAGGCTCCCAGGTGTCTTCCTCCCGGGCAAGTTTGTGGCTTCCTGAGGGCTCCGCAGTATGAGACTCTCAGCTGGTTCCATGGCCTGAGCTCTCCATTTCCCAGTGGACTGTACCTGGGTACTTTGCACATCATGGCCAGGCCAGCTTTGCAGACATAGAAACAGAGAAGATGCGGGCCTCCCAGTGTTCCACACGTGGCTTACACCAGCCTCCGTGGGTAGTCAGAGGATACCCTGCAAGTACAAAGAGCGTGGGCCCTGTCCCAGTGGCCCAGAGTGTCTCCGGCTTGATTCTAAAAGCCACCTGTGGATGCTGCATTTCAGGCCATCTGTGGTCTGTTTCTTCTCTTTCTAAGTTTGACCTTAAGGGATAGACTCCCCCAGCAGCATCAGGACTGCAGTTTCTCCCCCCAGCTGGGAGTGGGAGCGTGAGTTAAGGAGAGAGTCAGGTCCTGCCACACTGCCAGGTCCCCCGGAACTGTTGGGGGCCAGTTAGAGCCTCCTGTCTCCAGGCTGTACCCTACCACCCCCTGTGATTTCAGCCTTGCCTGGCCTCCTGTGCGCCCAGCAAGCCTGCTCCCGTGGGGCCTGCTACCCACCTGCCGGGGACCTGCTGATCGGGAGGACCCGGCTCCTCCGAGCTTCATCCACCTGTGGACTGACCAAGCCCGAGACCTACTGCACCCAGTACGGAGAGGTAGGCCCTGCACCCATGGGCCTGGGGCCGGAGAGGGCGGGACAGGCGGGGCAGCCTGCCATTTGTGTATTTGGGAAGCCAAGCCCCTGCCGGGTGGCAGCGTGAGGGGTACAGCAAGGGAAGTATAGAGCCAGGTTCCTGCCTATGAGGAGTCTGCGTGCTGGCTGGCAGGAGAGGATGAGCTTAGATCACCTCGCAGCTCCTTTCTTTCTCAGGATAAAGCTGGGGCCTCTTCTCAGTCCGGCGTAGCTTAGGCGTTCACAGAGGATGGGCTTCGAGGCCTGGGGAACAGGCAGAGAGACAAAGGTCTGGGTCTGAAGCGTAGGGGCCGAAGTGCCACCCCTGATGGCAAAGCCAGGGCCATGTGTGTTGGCGGCTGCTCGTGTCCTGGTGTGACTGGCGTTGCCCGAGTCCCTCCACCGCCACCGTGGGGCCTGGGGATGGTGGGGCAGAGCAAGCGGTGTTTGCATTTACCTTCGTGTTTTGTCCCTGTCACGTGCACAGAGCCAGCTTTATTTATCTGTCAGCCTTGGTGGCCCATCTGTTTCACCTGCCCAGACAAATAAGACGTATTCACACGTGTTAAAGGATGCAGATCCGTGAGAAAGTACGACGCGACTTGAGGTTATCAGGGAAGGTCAGAAACTCAACGATAGATTGGAAAAGGAGCTGAATGCATCCAAGGATGCAGTGCTTTGATTTACGTTGAATGAAACTGCTTGTTTATTTCAAAGAGCCATTGCCTCTGAACCATCTTTTTACAGGAACTTTGATTTTCTCTTCTTCCTTATCAAGAGGGTGGGGTCTTCCTTTACTCCTTGTGTTTGCCAAAGATGAAACCACTTGGTGTTTTCTTGGCTCCTAGCCTCCTCCCAGGCCACCTCGCTACCCTCAAAGCAGACTGGCCCAGGAGCTGGGCAGAGAGCCCTGCTCGGACTGCAGAAGTGTCGGGGATGAGAGAGGGAGGGAGAGAAAGCGAGCAGGAGAGGCCGAGAGCCGTGCAGGGGACTTGGCCGTCTGGCTTCGTGTTTCCAGGCTGCCCTTGTCCTCAGGGCACTGGAAGGTGGCATCTGGTGCAGCCTGTGCCCTGGCATCCTTCCCGTCTCCAGAATTCTCTTTGCTATTTTAATCACAGATGGCACTGGCTGGTGACTTTGGAGTTGGAGAGCAGAGGTGGCTGTGGTTTTTGCTCTCACCCACTTGGAGGTGGGGAGGCCCATTGGACGGGTCTTGGGCAAGGCGAGGGCTCCCTGGGGCTCCGCTTACCCCAGGACATCAGGGACCTGGCAGTCTGTGCTTTCTAGGCAGCTGCCATTCCAGCTGCCCCTTTCCTGCATCCCAACCATGTGCTGCTGTGCTGGGCCTGACAATCCAGGGAGCCCACTGCTGGTTTTAGCGTCAGATTTCTGGAGGGGGCAAGGGGAGCTCAGAGCCCTGTGCAGGTGCAGCCCCCAGCCTGGTCTGCTTGACCTGTCCTCCATTGGGCCTTGGCTTCTGGCTCCTCCCCAGCCTGTCTTCTGTCTCTCTCAGACGCCATCAGGAGGCCACGACCTTCCCTGCTTGAAAGCAGCCCCCCCCCCAGCAAAGCAGGGTGCTTGCAAAAGAGGCCGGACTTTTGCAACCCTTGGGATGGGTGATCTTGGCTATTTTTCTCCTGTAAAAGCTGACACACACTGGCTTTTTTTCTGTGAGGGAAATAAATCTAGGTAGCCTTTTGGAAAGAGCCAGGGAGGGGCCACCCGAGGATGGTGTGTGGTTCCTGGCCTGCACCACCTGTGCTGTGGCTTCCATGTGCGTCTCTCCGCCCTCTTCCCGAGTGAGGTCTGCCAGGGTGTGGGGTCCCGGCTTAGCCCCACAGCCTCGGGGAAGGAGCAGACCTCGGGCAGAGCGCTTCTCTCCCACTCCTGCCGGTCTCCTTTCGTCCCCTTCTTCTCCCTGACGTCCGCACTTCTCAGCCCCGCAGCTCCCATGGAGAATCCACAGGGCCGAGCGCGGGTGCCCTTCCACCTCTGTCCGTGTGCACCCGGAGCCACCCCGCAGCAGCGTGACGTGCCTTGCTTGTGTGACAGAAATCAGGAGTTCGGGTTACAACTACGTGGGGTTCCAGTTTCAGCCTTTAGATTTACATTGTTCTTATTTATTTACTTTTGAGATTGGATCTCAGCTCCATGTTTCAGACTGGCCTGAAACTTGGGGTCCTGCTGCCTCAGTCTCCTGAAGAGTGGGGTGGTAGGCACGAGCCCTCACACCTGCTGCGATACCAATAGTAGCTGCCGTTTGTTAAACGTGTTTTCTGTGTGTCCTGGGTAGCATATTAAGTACATGTATGTATGTGTTACCACATTTGGCTGCACAGTGCCCACGAGGTGTGCCTTGTTGCTTCACGAGCTGTGGGAGGTTCGGGTGTGTGCAGACCCTGTGCCTGGTGGCAGCCACAGGGGTTAAATCCCCGGGCAGCACCGAGCCTGGCTGGAAGAGCTGGGCCCAGACTGCTGGCCCTGGCTCCTGCCCCTGTGAGTGGCTCCTCTGCAGGCTGGCCGTGGCCTATTTGCGCTTTCGTACTCTGCCTCAGGCTGCCTCAGTGGTTGGGTCCTGTCGGCCTCAAGGTCTTGCTTCTGTGGATTGGGTGATGTTGCAATGCTCGCAGTGGACATTGGATTTGGCCAACTTGGCTTCGCTGTGTTTTCTGCCCAACTTTGCCCTCCTGGGCCTTCCTACCCGCTGCCCTGTTAACTGTCTGGGTGTGGGTCTACGCAGTTCTTTACCGAGAAGGCTGAGGCTGCAGCTCCAGCCTGCAGTTTCTGCTGTCGTTCAGCTCCTGGTAACATCTGGGTAAATGCACCGTACCTCACTCCCTCTGCCTCGCTGTGGGGTGAAGACACATGTGATGCCTGTGCTGCTTCTGTGCTGTCCTGAGCCTCACTGAGAGAGCAGTGACAGCACTCACTCTGGCTGTAAGGAAGAGTGTGCAAAGTGAAGGCACTGTACCTGGCGGGTGACAGCTGCCCTGTAGGCCCCTCCCTCTCCTGCCCCCTGTATGCAGAGGTGGCCTCACTGGTGACCCCATAGGTAGCCCTGCCATGCTCTTGGCGCCTCTCCCTCAGTGGGACACATGTCCCACACCGTCCTGGGGCACCGTGGAAGTGAGGCCTGCACTCCGGAGGTGAGGACGCTCCTGCCGGCCCAGTCCTGACCCTTGGAATAGGTGTGACCTTGTGGGGGTCAGGGCTCCTCTCCCCACCAGCGTCTCCTCGGTTGGGTCCCTTGGCCTCACGTTTGCTTAGCTCTGACACTGCTCCTTCCTCAGGACAGCGGGGCTGTACGTGGCCCTAGGACCTGCAGGGGCTGAACTGTACCCTCTGTCCTCTGGGCCACTGCATGCTCCCCAAGAACCAGGGCTTGTCTGGAAGCCTCCCAGCCTGGTCTGTGCTCCTGACCATGTCTCCAATGTTGAGTCTGCTCCCCTAAGTGCTTTAATTTATCCCTTCCTTTCTGGGGGAAACTTAATTACTGAGTAGCCTTAATAACAGTCTTACACAGAGCATCTCTCAGGTTAATTAAGTGAACAACCCCAACAGCTGTCATTTTCATCTCTTGGAAGGAAGAGGGGGGCAGGGTGAGGCAGCCAGTTTGAGCCCCCCCGCAGCACACCTCGCTCACATGTGCATGCGCCGAGAGCCACTGCCAGCCTCTGACTGGCGACTCCGTCAATCAGTCAGTCACTTGGCGGTGCTGGGGCTGACTAGTGCCTCACGCTTGCTGGGCAGGCACTGTCACCGAGCTGCATCTCCAGCCCCTCAGTTGTCTGCTTTCTTGACCCTGTCCTGTGCCTGCAGAAGCATGGGCCTAGCTGACCAAAATATCTGCTTGTTTCCAAGTCCCAAGAAGGTCTAAAACTTTAAAGACTCTTGACTCTGGGGTTACTGTGTGGCTGAAGCACTGCTGAGCTCCTTGTTCTAAATGCAGCCACCTGTAGGAAAGTGACCGACGACCACAGCACCACCCACACCTGGGCAAGTGCCTGTCCATCAGAAACTTACTGTGGGTCTGAAAATGGTCCCAAGAGAGTCAGACCGAGGATGAATGGCATCTTAGAGGATAAAAGAAAATGGAAAAGGGCACTGGGATGCTAGGATAGCTGCTATCAAACAGAAACGGAACTTGGGTTGGGAAATGTAAGACTCGAGTCCTGGCAGTCATGGCTTACAAAGTGGGGCTTGTGAAGCTAGAAGAGGGGGAAGGCCTAGGGACACCACTTCATTGCTCCTGGGGCCCAGGCCCTGGAAGCCCACAAGGAAAGTCTTGCAGACCTGCCTTGCCTCTTTGCCAGCCCTTTATCCCCTGCCTGTGGTCATGCAGGCACCGTAGGAGCCGTCGCCACCAAAAGATCCTGCCAAGGTTCTGGACACACAAACCAACTCTGCACTGGGGCCTAGCAGGGCACTCTTGATTCTGGAGAGGTCTGTGCTAGAGATGAGGCTGTTCTGCTCAGTGTGGGGGCAGAGGAAGAGGTGTCCTGAAGAACAGCTCTAGTCCGGGATTTCTGGTGCTTACCAAACCACTGTATTGCTTGCAACACAGGTGGGACGGAGTCAGATGCCTGGGACGAGAATCCCTGCCTCATCCCTTCCTAGCTTTATGTGTGGACCACATTTCTCAACTTCTCTGAGGCTCACTTTGCTGTAAAATGGGGAGCCCACTCTTTGTAAAGTAAAACATACCCACCAGAGACATGGGAAGGCTAAAATGCAGGGCTTGGGAGGGAGCCCGGCGCTGTGTGATTTTGGAGTGTGTGGTGTAGTCAGAAAGTGACTTTTCTGGACTTCTGCAGGCAGGCCTGTCCTTAGTAAAGGTTTGATCATATTTTACTTCATGGTGAAAGAAGGTAAATGCAAATGGCTCAAAACACAAGAGCATTTGCTTACCGTCAGCACTTGCCACGGGTCCTGACTTTTGATCTTTCCTGGCAATGTCCATTGATGTAGAAATTCTGGAGCTTTTGGAATTTGAGGGAGGCCTTGCTGACCAGAAGCCTTTGGGCTCTTCCCGCTGCCCTCTTGCTGGGAAGAGAGTTTCTCCAGCATAGCACCTGGGCTGTGTCTGTTTTTTCTCTTGCTTCCTTTGTATACTTGCTTTTCACTTCCGGCTGATAAGCTGGATGGGGAGAATTGTAATTGCAAGTTAAAGCAAGATGGAACGTCATAGTCTCATCACCCTGACTGGTTGGGTTATTTCTTCTCTTGGCCCTGGCTCCTGGCCACCACCCTGACTGTGGCTTTTTGGATGGGTGCAGGCAGCCCCCGGCTCCCCCACGGGAGGGAGAAGAGCCTGTTTTCTTGTTTCTCAGAGACACAGAGCTTGTGTTAGCATGTGCCTTCCCTTTCCAGCTCTCTCCGCTGTGACTCAGGCCCCTGCTGGCTTTTGCCCACTCGCTGCCCACCCGTCACTCACTGGTAGGGTTTGTCTTCTGGCCAGACTGCTGAGCAACTGGAAAGCTGTAGGAGAAAGGAGAAAGGAGAAAGCTCAGCCTTTCCAGCTGGAGAGCAAGCGGGAGTCAAAGTGGCTGGAGTCCCGCCAGGCTGCGCTGTGAGAAGGCTGAGTTTCAGAGGCTGCGGAGGCCGGATGAGCCCAGCGCAGTGGCCAGTGCAGCAAGAGCCACTCACTACGTGTGAGCATGGAAGAGTAAGTTAGAGAGGGAGACTGAGGCCCAGCCGGAAGGAAGCAGTGTGCAGGTTGTCTGCGCAACTCTTATTTCAGACTCCACCTGCTGCTTGCTGATGAGCAGAGCTGCTAAAATACCTGACCGAGCCTGGCAGCTTGTGCTGCCGTGAGGCCTGAGCCAAAGCCCTCCTGGAGCTGTGCCGTGCTGAGCGGCTCAGGAGCCCGCAGGCCATCTGCCCGGCATGAACAGGGCGTGGAGGAGGCGTGCAGGACCCAGATCCACAGCGAGGTGGGGAGCAGGCTGTGCCGGGCACCCGGACGTGTCCGTTTTATCTTCTGTCTTATTGTTTTGAGATGAACCTTAACGCATGCCTAAGGTGTAAAAGTCCAAGCGTATTAACAGATAGCAAGGAAGGAAAAGCACCCTCTAAGACCCGGTCATCTAAGACGGGAGGGGAACTGTTCGCAGTAGCTGCAGTTTGTTGGCCAACGAAGGTATCTGTAGTTTTATGTGGTTTCGCCTAGTACTGTATACTGGTGCATCTCCTCCCAGGCATTTCCTGTTCCTTTAAAATAATGTGTATATTTGAGGTCCCAGTGTATATGCCAGTTTATGCCTTTTTCCTCATAAACTATTATAATGTAATCACATGCAAATAGTTTTTTCTCTAAACCATTTTTAATAGTTTTGTAATAGCCCATCACTTGGGTGGAGCAGCGGCATTTCCGCAGTCCCAGCACCCTGTCCTTGACCCGGGAAGAACCTTGCCTCTGCTGTCCTCCTGGCCACGAGGCAGAGTGGTGTGGGGCGGGCGTCCGCTGGCCGGCAGCTGGCCCTCGTCTCTCCTGGGGACATTGCTGTGAGCAGAGAGGGTGAGGAAGGGAGACTGCCTGGGAGGCTGGCCGAGTGCAGAGGAGGGCACGTCCCCAGCCGAGGACAGGATGGAGCGCTCCAGCAAGAGCCTCCCTTGCCCAGAAAGGGCTGTGCCGAGTGCCCAGGTGTCTGTGTGCAGCTGAGCGGGGCTGGCAGGGAGCCAGTTTCCTCACACAGCGTGCTCTGTCTTCACCACCGCACATGAGCCCCCGAGGCCGAGTAAGCTCTCTGCGAGGCCCGCTGGGCAAGATGGAGATCACTTCCTGCCATGCTCCCACACGTCTGCCTGTCAGCAGGAACGGAGGATAGGAGGAGCCGGGAGACTGCGGGGAGACGGTTCAGAGGCAGACGGGGAAGGGCGGGTGATCAGACAGCAGGGGCCGGCTCTCTGGACCTCAGCTCTCTTCCGTAAGATGGGATGAGTGCTGCTTGCCGCAGAGGCTGCTGTGAGAGGTGAGCAGGTGCCGAAGTCACCCACCGTGGTGCCTGGCATGTGGCAGGTCCAGCGTCCCTCGGGACCGAGGGCGGCAGGTCCTCTCCTCACTCCTCCTTCGAGACCTCGAGCGTGTGGGCCGGGGATGCGAGCGACATGTTAATGAACACGGCTGGCGGTGTTGAACATTTACTGCTCACTCGTTTACTCAGCAGGTGTGTAGTGAGGGTCTGCGGTGTGCTAGGCCCTTTTCTGTTTCCCTCTTAGACCCATGTGCAGGACGTGATGACTGCGTGTGCTGTGGGTGTCGGTGCAGGTCCACGGCGCGTCTTCGCTCGTTCGTCCCCACTTCCTCGTCCTTCCCACCCTCGGTCCCCTGCCCACCTGCAGAAGCTCTGTGTTCATTTCCCTCTGGTTTCCTCCTCACGCCCTTTCCCCTGTATCTGTGTACAGCACCTGTAAGTACCCAGGGACCACTGCTCCTGACTTCACCTCCATGGTGGTCCTGAGGTGCCTTCACTTCCTACAGATGCCTGCAGTTTATCTTCTTTGTGGCAGAGTAGTGCCCTGTTCCGAGCAGCAGGACACAGCGGTGAAGAGAAGCAAGCTGCTGCCTCTGTGAGGCGTACGCTCTAGAGGGGAGGCACATAATTCATGGGAGATAGACAGCGGCTGCGCACTGCGTGCACTGGAGAAGCCACGCTGAAGAAGAGTAGCAGGGCAGGGGAGTGGCGGGGGCAGGAGAGGGTGGGTGCTGGCTCTAGTGCTGCCCGGAGTGTCACGCAGTGCTGGGGACGGAGCAAGCCTCCTGTGGCCGGGAGAGCTGGAGGGCGGTGGGGAGCAGAGGCCCGCAGAGCAGCACCCAGCTCTGGGCTCTGCCGGCCGCCTCCAGCTCTGCAGAGGGAGATGGCACGGGGCTCCCACAACTCCAGCACAGGCCAGGCAGCTCCCTCGGCCTCTGTCGGCCGAGCTGTGGGTTTGTCCACCTTTTCAGGGTGCCCCACACAACCTGGGCACAGCCGGCACATGGCCTTTCTGGACACAGGAAGCTCCCCTTGGTTCTGGGGCGGTGATGTCTAGGAGAAAGCAGAGACCTGGACGAAGGAGGTGCAGCTGGCTCTCAGAGGGTACCAGCAGGCCGGTGTGTTCTTGTTGCAGCCTGGCGAGTCTGCAGCCCTGGGTGGCACCCTGGAAGCCAGCGTGGGGTTTGCACCTTGAAGAAAACAGATGCTGTGTGTGGGGTACATGGTCCTAGGACATGGTCATGTTGTATCTGTGCTGTGTGCATGCCTGCGCGCTCGCACGTGTGTGTGTGTGTGCGCGTGTGTGTGTGCATGTGCGTGTGCATGTGTGTGTGTGCGTGTGCGCACAGGCACGAATTTAAGCGATGAGGGAAGAGGCCTCTCTGGTGTGTCCCTGTCCTTGGCGGTCCTCCCACTCCCAGGATGGGCACAGGCCAGGGAAGGGGTGGCTGCTCGGCTCTGTGGGGCCTCCCGGAAGGCTGTAAATCTCCCCTGTGGACCTGGTTCCTGAGCCGGGAGAGACCCCGAGGTCCCAGGTGGAGTGCAGAAGCCTCTAGATCATCTCGCGTCCCTCACGCGGCAGCCTGAGGACTGGGCTTTGCTTTGTTCACTGCTCTGACGCTGGAGCCTTCCTGTCACACTGCGCGAAGCCCGTAAACGAGCGACAGGTCCAGCTTCACTCCCTGTATAGCAAATCCTCCCCTTGGAGAGCTAGTGGGGCACCCGAATTCCCTTCTCTTGTTTGGTGGTCCCCTCTCCTCCCGGATCCTCAAACTCAGTATCCCCAGGCTGCTGGGAGTAAACAAAATAAGATAAAACTTTCTAGCCAGCGTCGCCCAGACTAGGGGATTGGTGTAGGCTCCTCCTCCTCCTCCTCCTCTCTGCCCTCAGCACCCTCCCATCTCTCCTCAGTCTCATTTGCTGAGGTGATTTTTCCTGCCCCACATGATTCTCCCACAATACACAAGTAGCAATGTCTGCTTACCATTCCCTTGCCGCGTGTCAGGAGGGATGCAGAGAATTACATGCAAAGGTGGCCTGTGGCCCTCGTTCCGCGAGACCCCTTCCGAGCGCATCGCGGACTTCGGGACCTAGAGGAGGAGCACGTGAGGGCCCCACCCAAGCCCGTCGTCTCCTCTCCCACAGTGGCAGATGAAATGCTGCAAGTGCGACTCCAGGCTGCCTCACAATTACAACAGTCACCGAGTGGAGAACGTGGCTGCGTCCTCAGGCCCCATGCGCTGGTGGCAGTCACAGAATGGTGAGGACTGGCACTGACAGGAGCCCACGCGTGGAGGGCTCCTCAGGGCGGGGGTGGGGATCTCGGGGTCTCTTCGGGGTTCCCAGGTGTCTTGTGGTGTGGCGGTGGCGGTTAGGCAGACAGAACCTCCCAGCTTTGTGCTTGGGGCCTGCTGGACGCAGCAGGCAGAAAAGTGTGTGGAGACCGAGCAGCTGGGCCTGCCTTTGTTTCACTCCACTTACTCTACTCTCGATGGGTGGGCTTGCAGAAGGAGCTGAGCTTTGGGAAGAGATCTGTGTCAGAAAACAAGGTGAGCGCCTCAGGTATTAGAGGCATCGGGTGACAGTGAAGAAAATTTGGCAGAAACAGGTAAGAGCCTTTAACAGATCACCTGAGAAGAGACTTTCTGCCTGCACCTCTCTCGGAAGGCTAGAGTATCAAGGCTGGAGACTTTCAGGCTGGCTAGCGTGAGTCTAGTCCAGAGCCTTAGGCAACATGGGCCAGAAGGTGGGGACCCTTTGGCCTAAAGCTTCTACTTTTGTCCTTCCAGATGTGAGCCCTGTCTCTCTGCAGCTGGACCTGGACAGGAGACTTCAGCTTCAAAGCATCATGATGGAGTTAAAGGTACACCTGCTGGGGAAGGTGCTGAGGGACCCTGGGCCATGTGGGCTCCAGCTGAGGAGGAGCAGTGTTCTTGTTGCCCAAGGTTGGGTGATAGTGCTGCGTGCTCGGCTGGCCCCCTCCCGGCTGGGACAGTAGAAGACCAGCTTCTGGGAGAATGGTGGCCCTCACCAGCTTCCTGTCTCGGTCATGCTGCAGTTGTATGGCCTCTTCCTCTCAGTATCCCTCACCTTCAACCCATCTAACTAGTTCAGCTTGCCATGTACCAGTTGTGCTGGGCCTGGTTCCTCATTATGTAATTGTGTATCCTTACATATGAGGTATGATCAAATAATAGAGGGTACTGGGGAACCCTGAGAATTTACTAGAAGCCTCTGCAGCAGGCTCCAGTCTCCTGCTCAGTGTACAACACAGGCCTGAGGGAAAAACTAAAGACACAAATAAGAGAGATAGAAAGCGGGGCCAGGACGACCACTGTTGGTGCAACCGACAAAGGCCCTGACCAGTTCAAGCCACTGATTTTTATTGGCAATCACTTGAGGTAAAGGTGAGCAAGGTCAGTACTACTTGTGAGGATGCACAGTTGTGTGGTTTCTGTGGAAATTAATGTAAGCCAGGCTTGTAAAGGACAAGACAAAGGATTCTCAAATTAGGAACGGAGCAGACAAAATACAAGGTTGTAATTAGAACATTTAGAAGGTGTAGTTGTGGGAACAGAATTTGAGTGCGAGTTACTCTGACCTCAGCGCGTAGGCTTCAGCCAGACTCGCCTCTATAGACAGCCAGTTGTGGGGTTCACTCTTCACAGCCTGCACTGCTTGCAGCCTGCTCTGGGCATAATCAGTACTGCAGTCTTCCGCATCAGGGAATGTCTGAATTTAATGTGTTACGAGAAAAGTCCCATTGCTGTTAATCCCCTGAAAACACACGCATTGTTCTCGTCACTGTCTGGAGTGGTCCTGGAAGTCCTTCGTGAGTGTCTTTTATTTGACTGTCCCAGCAGCTTTAGTTCCCTGCACTGATTGAAAACCTTTAAGTCCGTTTCTATAATTAAAAGCATTACACTGTGCCCTCATCCACCTTACTCACCAGATCTGGCCCTGTGTGACTGTAAAGTCAAGGTGGCTGGGAAAGGTAGATGTTTTAAGTTGGTTTAGGACATAGAGGCAGCCAAGACAGCACAACCGATGTTCACAAAAGAGGGCTTGGAGTGCTTTAGAAAGTGAGTCGAGCAGTGCGGTGGGTGTTTGGGGTGAGGCAGAGTGTGGGAAGGGGGTTATTGACAGCGGCTTTTACCAGAATTTTAAAAGTGAGATGTTATCGCATCTTGACTCTAATTTAATAACTTTGTAGAAGAGCTTGAGTTTAGCCGACAGCCAGGAATTTGCCTCTCCGCGCGGAGGGTGTCGCGCTGGAGGATCTCTCCTGATGAACGGTCCCTCCCTTCAGGGCTGTTTCTTCTCAAAGGACCTTCACATCCTCTTTTAGACTCGTTTCTGAGATACCCGTTTTGAAGGGAACGTTTTCATTGGTTATGACTCATTTTCTTTCCTTTTAGAAAAAGATTTTGTTTTATACTTACCACGGAAATAGTCAAATGTGAAAGGTCGCATTTGGTTAATAAGGTCAGATAACCAGGAAGGGTTGTATGATTTTCAGAAGTTAAAATGAGCTTCAAGTAAAGAGTAATGGGACCTATTTTTTGCATGACTGAGGAAGTTGGCTCTAAGAGCTACGTTCTACAGAAAGGTCAAAAAGATTTTGAGAAACGCCAGCGTCATTTGATTAGATGCCCAGTCTCCAAAGGTGACAGCTTTGAAGGGCGATATTCATCTGGATGTTATAGTCTCGCTGCTCTGTCACCACCCACCCCTCTGTTACTTCTCGCCACATACAGACTGAGCACTGATTATATGAGAAGTTTGGTGTCAGATGTTAGGCGGGAAGATGAGTAAAACAAAGCCAACTAGCCTCAGGCTGCTTGTACAGCTTTTATAGAGACCAAGGGGTGACTAAGATCGGTGAAAAGAGGCGTGACGAGCGTGGGAGGGGGCGTCTAGCAAGGCCTGCTTGAGCGTGTGTGGGGTGCCAGAGAAGGCACCCAGACCAGTACTGCCAGGAAGTCTAGTGTCCATTTCAGAGAGAGCACTGCCAGTGCAGAGGCCAGGGGACAAGAAGCAAGTCAGCATACAGTTGGGAGGGGAGAAGGAGTACACCTGGTCTGGGTGGTGAAATGTGTTCGTGGCCGGCAGAGATGAACTTAGAGGTGTGCGGACTACACACGCGCCATTCTTTCAGCCGGAACGGACTGAGCCCCTATTGTGTGCTAGATGCTGGGGTACAGCTGTGAGCAGGACCAGCAACAGGGCCTACCATATGGTGTGCTGTGCCCAACCAAGGGTCCTCTCACCCTCTCCCTGCCCCAGGGCCATTAGCATTTCCGGGGACACTTCCGGTTGCCTCCCTTTTGCGTTGATTATCTCAGATACTTTGTGATGTGGTGGACATTGTGATGGAGTGGTGCAGGCTGTGGGCTCCTCCTCCCTCCGCTGTGAGGACCACGGTGACCCCGAGATGCTCAGCGTGCGGCCCTCCCAGGGGCAGGGCCTCGCCTGTCCTCAGGCAGCACCGTTCCCTTGGTTGTATCCTGGGCCCAGGACTTCCCTCAGATGTGTGGGGGTTGACGTGAAAACCTGCAGGATGTGCAAGGGAAGTCACGGGTTGTGGGTGCCAAGTTGAAAGCTGGTAGGGAGGGGTCACGGATGCTGTCACCCACCCTACGGCACACGGGGCATCCCTGTGACCGAAGATAATAACAGTGCTGGGGTTGAGAAATCTTGGCCTATTGAGTAAAGAATAAAAAGGAAACCCACAAATAAACACTTGGAAATAGTGACATTTCTGAAGGCAACAAAATGCTGGAATAAGAAAGAATAGATGAGTGGGCAGGGTACATACAGAAAAATGCGGGTTAGAAAGGTGTGGAAAGATCTCCACGAAGAAGTTACATTTAAACCGAGAACGTAAGTAGAAGGACACCACTGGGGAGAAGCATTTCAGCCAGAAGAGAGGTGCAGAGGCGCTGAGGAGGAGGGGCCGACCTGCTGTGATCTAGGACTCCCAGGAGGAGAGGTCTGACTGAGGAGCGACACAGCCAGCATTCAGGAGCACGGGGCCTCTTCACGCACGGTCAGGAATGCAGATTTTAGTACAGTGGGGTGTTAGCTCTCTGTCACTGTAACGAAATGCCTAAGAAAATCATCTTAAAGAAGGAAGGATCCATCTTGGCTCAGGATTTTAGAGGTTTCAGTCCATGGTCACTTTGGGCTGGAGATAAGGCTGAACATCATGCTGAAGTGGGTCTGTGTGGTGGTGGGGGGAGCAGATCACTTCACAGCAGCTAGGAAAGGGGGCAGTCACTCCAGGGGCAGACTGTGACCTTCAGAGCTGCACCCCAGTGACCCTCCTCCTCTTTCAACCTGGCCCTACCTCCCGCAGTTTCCAGTGGCACCTCTGGCTGGGACTACACCTTCAACACGTGGGCCTTTGCCAGACACTGTAGATCTAAATGATGATAGTGGGTGTGTTGGTCAGTTTCCGTCACTGTGAGAGTGTCTGAGATAATCAATGTGAAAGGCAGAAGGGTTTGTTTTGGCTTATACTTTCAGGGGTTCAGTCCATGTTGCTTAGCTCTGTCACTGTGCTCTTGTGGCAGGGATGACTGTCATGTAGGGAGCATGTGGGAGAAGCAAGCTACTCACGTGATGCAGCCAAGAAGTGAACAGAGAGAGGAGGGGCCGCCATTCCAGTATCCCCTTTATGACCTACTATTTCTTCTAAAGAGGCTCTGCCTGCTAAGTTCCTATTACCTCCCAGTAGTGCCATTATAGCTGGGGACCAAGCCTTCAGCAATTGAATTTTTGGGGATATTTAAAATCTGTCCTAGTTATTTTTCTTGTTGCTGGGACAAAATATTTGACATCCACAAGTTAAAGGAAGAAAAATTTATTTCAGCTTAGAGTTTATTTCAGCCCACAGTTGGCTGGCTACCAGGCAGGGAGGCATGGCAGGGGCCGTGCAGAGGAGAAGTGGTCCCTGGCATAGATGCTAGAAGCAGCAAGCCATGAGCTTCCTTTTCCTTTTTATTCCGCTCAGGCTTCAAGCCTGTTGGTTGGTGCCACCCACACCCAGGGTGGGCCTTCCCATCATCCACACCCAGAACTGTGCTAAACCGATCAGTGGATTACACAACTGTAACCCAATATCATGCACCCATGATCCAGCCACCTCCCCAAAAGTCCCACCTGTGAGTGTATGAAGCTTTGGTGGGGACATCTGGATGTGAACCATAACAGTATTCAAATCATATCATTCTGTCTCTGGCCCCCAAGATTATGTTCATCTCGTGATGCCAAATGCATTCACACTATCTCCAAGAGTCCTCACAAATTTAAAAGTTCCAGCATTGCTTGAAAGTTCAAACTTCCCTGAGACTCAAGGCAGATTCTCAGCTGCAAGCCCTTGAAAAAATTTTAAAATGTTACATACTTCTAGCATGTGGTTGTGGGCAGGCATGGGGTCAACACTCTTGTTACAGAAATGAGGACTGGGGTCATAGAGAGGAGAGACTGGGCCAAAGTAAGACTGCAACTCTGAAGGGCAAACGTTAAATCCCAACTCCAGGGCACAGGCTGGTGTGGTGTTGGTCACGAAAGGCTTGGGCGGTCCCATCTCTATGACCTTGGCTGTGACCCGCAGTGCGTCGGGGGAATTTTAACAGAGTAGTGATACAGTGCATATTATATTTTATATGGAAGACTCTAGTTAAAAATTAAGTGTATTGGTACATTTGATGCTCATTTCTCTCATCCCTCTACCCTCTCCTCAACCCTTCTTTCTTTCCTTCCTTATGTATAAAAGCTTTGTTTCAATTTTTTTCCTTCTTTTCTTGTTCTCCCTTCCTTTCCCCTCGCTCCTCCCTAGTTCCCATTCTGTTGTTGTTGTTTGTTTGTTTGTTTTTTTGAGACAGGGTCTCACTATGTAGTGAGACTGACTTGGAACTCACTGTGTAGCCCAGGCTGGTCTCGAACTCACAGCGATCCTCCTGCCTCAGCCTCCTGAGTGCTGGGATTACAGGCGTGTGCCACCATGCCCAGTTCCTAGTTCCCATTCTTATTTTAACATTTTCTTCCTACTCTACAATATCTGTTATACATTTTAGTCCTTATTTACACTTTTGTTTTCTCACACTAGAGAAACAATCCAATATTTCCACGTGTGACCTGAGGGCAGGAGGCACCGTGTACCCCAGTGGGGACACAATCAGAGAGCAGCTCCAATCCAATCTATTACACTTAAGAATATGGCTGTAAGATGTATCTGTTTACCTAGAAATGTCAAATTTGTCTTTCTTTATGTCTGATTAGTACTCCATTATATATATATATTAAACACACACACACACACACACACATCTTCTTCATCCATTTATCAGTTGATAGGCATTTGGGCTTTTCACAAGATTACAAACCTATATAAACATGGGTGTGTGTATATCGCTGTGCTATGATGCTTTTAATTTTTTTTTTAAACTGGGGATTGAACTTGGGACCTTACTCTTGAAAGGCAGGCACAGTACTACTGAGCTAAATCCCCAGCCTGATGCTTTTAGTTCTTTTGGGAAGATACACAGCAGGGAAATAGCTGGGTCAAATGGGACCTCTAGTTTTAGTCTTTTGGGAAATCTTCACACTGATCTCCACAGTGGTTGCACCAGTCGGCGCTCCCACCAGCAGTGAAAAGGGTTCCTTTTCCTCACAGCCCCTCCAGCATTTGTTATTGGTTGATTTCTTGATGACAGCCATTCTCTCTGTGGTGAGGCGAATCTGCTGGAAAATAAAAGGGAGAATTCTTAAAGACATAGGTGTAGGCCAAGACTTTATGACTAAAACCCCAGTCACATGGGAAATATTACAAAGAATCAACAACTGTGATCCCCTCTTATTAAAAAGCTTTTGCACAGCAAAAGAAATCATCAACAGGGTGAAGAGACAACCCACAGAGTGGGACAATTTTTTTTCAGCTATTCCTCAGACAAAGGACTAATATCTATAATGTAGAAAGAACTCAAGTCAGACACACCAAATTTAAAAACTGAATCCCAATGAGGTGGGTGTGGTGGCACACGCCTGTAATACCAGCACTCTGGAGGCTGAGGCAGGAGGATCGCTGTGAGTTCGAGACCAGCCTGGGCTCCATAGTGAGCTCCAGGTCAGTCTCGACTACATAGTGAGACCCTGTCTCAAAAAACCAAAAATAAATAAATAAATAAATAAATAAATAAATAGCCTCCAAGTGGGCATCTGTAATGAACAGACACTTCTCAGATGAAGAAGTAGAAATGGCAAATAGATATGTGAAAAAATGTTCAACATCACTGGTCGTTGGAGAGAAGGCCCTTTTGTCGGTGGCTGGTGTGACTAGGTAAGGGTGAGCAAGGGGAAATCAGACAGAGCCTCCTAGGGAAGGGTGGCATAGCAGCTGGTGCTATGGGCTGTGCTTTTTAGAGTTTCTGAACCAGCACTGCAAGGAAATGAGTGGTCGAAGCTGAGATAAAACGGTGGGCTCACCCTGAGGGGCGCGGGGATGGGCCAGTCACACGAGGAACCTGCACTTCATCTCGGGAGCAGTGCAGACGGGTGGAAGGGTATCCTGATGGGACGACCACTCGGCAAGTCTTCCCTGTGACAAGGGGCAGTGGCTTGGGGCGTTTCCAGACTGTGGTGGTGACTCAGGCCCAGCGTGACCACAGCCTGAACTGGGCTATCGGTGGCCACAGTGGAGAGTGCGAACTCTGTTCTAGGTGGAATCCAAGTGGCTGTGGGGAGAATTTCCTGGCCTGGAGCTGAGGTGGAGTGGGACTGAGCTGGGGATCACTTCTGGAATACAGATTTTATTTCCATTGCTTTCCACAGTTCTGGGGATAAACTGTAAGGCCTGTGGGTGCTAGGAGGATCGGACCGCTTGGTCCTGTGGGGCCTTTCTTCCTCCAGCGTGAGGAGCTGCTCTCAGATTGCTCCACGGCTCCTCCCTGCCCTCGGGTCAGCGGGCCCCTCCTCATCTCCCCAGGGGCCTGTGCCTGCTGGCATGCTGATCGAGCGCTCCTCCGACTTCGGCAAGACCTGGCGGGTGTACCAGTACCTGGCTGCCGACTGTGCCTCTGCCTTCCCTGGGGTCCACCAGGGCCAGCCCCAGAGCTGGCTGGATGCGCGGTGCTCGGCCCTGCCCCAGAAGGCCAATGGGCAGCTAAATGGCAGGAAGGTAGGCAGCGGGACACTGGAGGGGTGGGCTCGAGAGAGGTCCCTGTGTGCCTGGCTTGGAGCCTCCAATGCTTGAAAAGAGGAGGATGCCATGGCCGGCTATGCTTGTCCCCCACTCTGCCCTCCCAGGGCCCCTCCCGCAGGGCTGGGCAGCTCCTTACCTTGTGGAGAGGGGAGGACTTCAGGATGACTCCTTGCATGCAAATGAGCAAACTGCATGACTTTATTTTTACATTGATAACATTAAACTCACAAATGACTCTTTTGGTTTGATTTGCTCCTCTAGCCCAGTGCTAGTCCTTGGATGGAAATTCATAGCCAGATTATGCGCCTTGCCCAGGAATTCAGGAGATTCTTGTAACACCTATATGTTGAGAGAGAAGTTGTGCACAGACACACACACACCACACACACACACACACACACACACACACACACACACACGGCCCAGCGGCTGCCCGGCTCCCCAGGGCATGTGGCAGCCCCAGTCCTACGGGTGGCTGGGAAGGGAGGCTTCCTCTGGGTGGGGCCGCTGCTCACCTCCTGTCTGGTGCCCTCCTCCCTCCCTGCATAGGTCCAGCTCAACCTCATGGATTTAGCATCTGGGATTCCAGTGACTCAAAGCCAGAAAATTCGAGGTTAGTTGGCCCCTGTTCTGCCTGTGGGGCTGCCAGTGGGATAAAGTTCCCTGCTCTCTCCGATTCTCTCCGATTTTTTGACCTGGCTGGGGTTTGGAGCCTGCCCCGCGTAGCCCACAGGGAAGCTGTGGGACGTGGAGCGAAGGTCGGGCTGGGAGGCCGCGGCACCCTGTGCAGGCGGCACGGTGGGCCAACTCCCCTCTGTTTTCCCTCCCTACTGCTGCCCACCCAGAGCTGGGCGACATCACCAACCTGAGAGTCAACTTCACCCAGCTATCCCCGGTGCCCCGCAGGGGCTATGTGCCGCCCAGCGCCTTCTTCGCGGTGTCCCAGCTGCGCCTGCAGGGCACCTGCTTCTGTCACGGCCATGCCGACCACTGTGCCACCGCTGCAGGGCCCTCCTCCGCTGTGCAGGTGACGCGGGCGGGCGGCCGGGCAGGCAGACGTGCCCTCAGTGCCCTGGGAAGGAGGAAGAGGAGCCCGAGCGGCCACCCTTCCGTTCAGAATCCCGGTTTCGTAGGACTTCTTCAGGCCTGGGTTAGAGTGGGCGGGCTTGATACTCAGCCCCAGGCGTGGCCCTGGGACGAGCTCAAGGCAGACTTCTGAGCAGGTTGTGCCTTGTGGTGTGATAGGTAGATTTCGTCACAGTGTTATTGTATGTCAGAATTATTTACACCCATGCAGTTGTTATTAGAAATTGTAATATTATTTACAACATGATTATGTAGAGACTATTATGAACTACAGTTTCATGGAGAACTGTGAGTGCTTGCTTCTCCTCCACCCTCAGGTATTCTGTTCATCGCTGGCTTTGAAGCAGCGGGGATCTGACTGCGGGGCTCAGGCCATGCGGCGGGCATGGGGGGCATGTTCATCGTGGACTGGGTCCCCCAGCTGGAGGAGGCCGGGGTGGGGCGGACCTGCGTCGGGACAGAGACGGAGTCTGTGGTGGAGGGGGCCTGTGCTGCCTTCCAGGCCTGCGGGTGGCTGCTGCGCTGGGGCCTGGGAGGTGGAGGGGTGGCTGCACAGTGCAGTCCCACTTTCCTAAGCTCCATGCCTGGGCCCCCGAGGGCTTTCCAGAGGAGGGACAAACAACAGGAGGCTGGGAGACAGACAGGGCAGCAGGGGCGCTGGGTAGCGGCGCTGAGCGGCTTGCCGTGGTGTGGGCAGGAGTGGGGGACGCTGGTCCCCCAGGGCCGAGCTGAGGGTGTCGGAAGCCGTTACCACACAGCAGCCATCCCATTTTATGCTGAAGGAGTCTAGTGGCCATTCCCTAACAGCCCCACAGCCAAGCCCCCGAACCACGGACGGCTGGAATGTGAGTCTCCAGCATAGAACCCCGTGTGCCGAGGGTCGTGTGCCACAAATGAGGCCACACAGGGCTGCCCAAGTGCAAGAGATGGGCCTGTGAGAGCCCATCAGGGCGCAGAGTGGGCAGACGCACACAGGTGCACATACTCACACTCGGCCCCGCAGGCTGGGGGCCTCCGTGGGTGGCCCTGGGACAGCGTCCTCAGGGGGCTGGGCCGGGCCTGGTAGAGAACGGCAGGCCCATCCCTGCAGCTATCCTCGGTTCTGGTTCTGACCATCTGTCACCCTCTCCTAGGTCCACGATGTCTGTGTTTGCCGGCACAACACTGCCGGCCCCCACTGTGAACGCTGTGCCCCCTTCTACAACAACCGGCCCTGGAGACCTGCGGAGGACCAGGATGCCCACGAGTGCCAAAGTAGGAGCCTGAGGCCACCCTGCCTGCAGTGACCGGCTTGGTGCTGGCCCTTCAGTGTCTCACTGACCTTCCTGGGCACAGGGCAGATCTGATATTATTGCAGCCCGCAGTGTAAGCTGCCTTGTCTCTGCGGCAGAGAGGTGGGCCTCTGCCCTCCCCAGCTAGCCGGTCCCTCTCCCTGTTACAGGCTCACCTGGCCCTGCTGTCTCTTTCCCACTCCCCGTGGTCCCTCGGAGTTGGGGCTCTGTCTGTGAGGCCGGCCAAGGCTGTGACCCCACAGGAGACCCTGGGGGACGGCAGGGCTGGGTGTATACTTTGTCTCCTTGTGGCCCGGCACAGCCACCGTTCCTGACCATCCCACGGGTGGTCTGGAGGCCTGACTTGTCATTGCCCTCTGCTTTCTTCCTTGTGCCGTGGCCGTGGGTAACCCGCACAGGCCTCCCTTGGCCTCAGTTTCCTCCTTTCCCTGCCCGGAGATCTGCACAGAGCCGAGCTGCTCATGAACTGACCTGAGGTGCTGGGGCCGGGGCCCCCTTTTCCAGGGTGTGATTGCAACGGGCACTCGGAGACCTGCCACTTCGACCCAGCTGTGTTTGCTGCCAGCCAGGGGGCACACGGAGGCGTGTGTGACAGTTGCCGCCACCACACGGAGGGCCAGAACTGTGAGCGGTGTCGGCTGCACTTCTTCCGGAACCGGCGTCCAGGTGCTCCCCTGGAGGAGACCTGCATTCGTAAGTCAGGGCTGGCGGCGTCTGAACCAAGCTTGCTCCGTTCTGGCCATGCGCCCGGGGAAGCCGTGGGAGTCCTTTAAATTTTCATTAAGCATGTGCTCAACCCCTGGGTCCTGGCTGGTGAGTCAGCCGGCGACTGTGTGGCCCTCATCCTGGCATAGGTGAGGGAAGCTCAGGCCCCAGGGCTGTTGGACACACACTGTGGATGGAGGCCGCGAGCGTGCAGGCACTTGTGTGCGTGATCACTGTTGCCGTGTGAAGTGCGGGCCGCCCTTTGTCTCCCAGCCCTGCGGCCTCCAGGATTGGGATTAGTCTCGTGTCCCCTGGTCACAGCAGGCGGCTGCACCTCACTGGTGCTCAGAGGAGCAGAGTAGGCAGATCGCTTGGGGCAGTGTGCGGTGCCCACAGCCCTGGGGTGCACAGGACAGCAGGCTGGAAGTGAACCGGAGAGCACGTTGGCCAAAGGAGCCTCGTGTTTGGAAGGCATGGAAAAGGCCAAGGGTGGGCGGGAGGACTGGGTCACTTTCTGTCACTGATACATGTTCACGGAGGGAGTGACTCAGGTATGAGTCGGCCCATGTCTCACACTTACTCACACGTGAACTTGAGGGTGTTCGGTAACATCCCCATGCCCCGATCTCCCCGTCTTTGCAGTGGGTTGGCACTCAGCAAGTGGAATGAACCTTTCAGGGTTACCTTGAGGACTGCGAGGCCCAAGAGGGCCTGGCTCAGGGCTTGGCGTGTCTTGATTGCCCTATAAACAACAGCGGTAAAAGTACTTCTGTAGGGCTTGGTGCTGTCCTACCTGTCTGCCGCTGACTCATTTACCCCCCGAAGGCTGTGCTGTCTTCCCACTTTACAGATGAGGACACAGAGGCACTGAGGGGTTGAGTAGCTGCTGAAGCTTGGAGGCAGTGACTGCGGTGGACCAACAGGCTTTGGGCCAAGCAGCCAGGCTTGGAACCTGCCCTGGGCTCACCTCTCCCTTGCCCTTCCTGTCCCCCAGCCTGCGAGTGTGACCCGGACGGGGCAGTGGTGGGAGCGCCGTGTGACCCTGTGACGGGGCAGTGTGTATGCAAGGAGCACGTGCAGGGAGAGCGCTGTGACCTGTGCAAGCCGGGCTTCACTGGACTCACTCACACCAACCCGCAGGGCTGCCACCGTGAGTAGGGGCAGCTGGAGTGCTGGGAGGGGCGGCCCGGGCTGGCCACATTCAAGGTGCTGCAAGCTGCTGGCAGACTGGGGCATGTGCTTGCTGCCCTGAGACCAGATCTGTCTTCCCCAGCACCAGGTGCGGGGCCACAGCCTCCAGCAGGTGGCAGCATGGGCCTGGGCTGGAAGGCGGGAACTGCGCCAGCTACAGCAAGGGCAGTGGGCACCGAAGCCTGGCGTCAGCCCACACTTCCCCGGGCTCGGTCCCTCCCTGGCTGTGTCCTCAGGGGCTGAGCTGTGTGTGTGGTGTCCCCGGCAGGCTGTGACTGCAGCGTCCTGGGGACCCAGCGAGACATGCCCTGCGATGAGGAGACGGGGCGCTGCCTGTGTCTGCCCAATGTGGTGGGCCCCAGATGTGACCAGTGCGCCCCCAACCACTGGAAGCTGGCCGGCGGCCGGGGCTGTGAGCCATGCGCCTGTGACCCGCGCACCTCCCTCAGTTCTCAGTGCAACCAGGTATGGGCAATGGCCCCATAGTGGAGAGGCCCTGCTGCCGCGTCTCTGCTACCCACGTGGCAGGCTGGCTGTTTCTGTCCCATTGCCCTCAGGGAGCGCTGGCAGGCGCCCCTCCCTCTGTGGCTCTCAGGAAGGCCCAGGACCCCGACTTCAGGGCACGTCCTGCCTGGTGGGAAGCCTGCCCACACCAGGGGAGCTGTGCCCGCGGGCCCCTGACGCACTATCCTCGGCCCAGTTCACAGGGCAGTGCCCCTGTCGGGAGGGCTTTGGTGGCCTCATGTGCAATGCTGCTGCGGCCATCCGCCAGTGTCCTGACCGGACCCATGGAGACGCAGCCACAGGATGCCGAGGTGCGTGCTGACCGTGAGGGGACGTGGGGTACCCATGTGTCCACAGTGGCGTGGCTCCCCTCCCAGGCCACTCTGCATCCCCAGCAGGGAGGCGGTTGGCAGCAGCATCTCCGGGCAGCAGCTGCAGGGACACAGGAAGTGATCCTAGGGGACAGGAGCGTGGGGTGTGTGGGGTGCAGATCTGGTGCTGGTCTAGCGCTGCCTCACCCGGAGATGCATGGGCGCTTCCCTGTCTGTGTCTCCCCCTTGGAGGAGGAGGTTCGAGGCACACTGCTCTCTGCACGTCAGAGTCCCTGCTGACAGTGGGTGTGAGGGGCAAGCCCTGTGAGGACGGTGAGCCACGCAAGGCTCCGAGGTGTGTCCTTGCCGCTGTTGCTGCACTGATTCTGGCCACTGCAGTCGGGAACTCGAGTCCCTAGAGGACTGTCGGGCAAGGCACCTGTTCAGGGAGGATGGCTTTGTCTTCCTGGCTGGCCTGACCCTCCGTTCTCCTGGCCCTAGCGTGTGACTGTGACTTCCGGGGAACGGAGGATCCAGGCTGTGACAAGGTCTCCGGCCGCTGTCTCTGCCGCGCTGGCTTCACCGGGCGCCGCTGCGACCAGTGCCAGAGAGGCTACTGTGACCGCTACCCCGTGTGCGTGGCCTGCCACTCTTGCTTCCAGACCCACGATGCAGACCTTAGGTTACAGGCCGGGCGCCTCAGCAGACTCCGCAATGCCACTGCTGGCCTGCGGCCTGGGCCGGGTCTAGAGGACATGGGTCTGGCCTCCCGGATCCTGGATGCCCAGAGCAAGATGGAGCAGATCCAAGCAGTTCTGGGCAGGGCCTCAGTCACGGAGCAGGACGTGGCACAGTTAGCCAGCAGCATCCTCTCCATCAGGTAATCGCTGCCTGGCACAGTGTGTGCCTGCAGCCTGTACAGTTCATAGGCTTTGCAGGGTGCCCGGACCGCAGCGAGGGTCCCTGAGGGGAAGTGGGGCTGGCATTGCTTCCAGTTTGTGGTCAGGAGACTGGCAGCGACAGGTGCTGTGATGAGGTGACAGCCGCCGAGGGCTTGCAGCCTGAGCCCATTGCTCTTTTGAGTGCCTGCGTGGCCTGGGAGCATCAGCTCTGGATTAGTCACCCTGGGGAGGGCACGGAGAGGCAGGTGCTAAAAATAGCTGCTAGCTTGCCTTCAGAATAGCCTTGGTGCGCCCATAGCCCCTCCCACCAGCAGGCCGCCTTCCCAGCGAGATTGGTTTCTGGAAGTTTCTGTAATTAATTTGTGTTCCCTGAGGAACGTGGCCGTGCATGGGCTGGCCAGGTGTGTGATTGGCAGCGGGGAAAGGCAGCCCAGAAACCCTTCCTCCTGAGCTCCAAGGCTCTTACTCATGGGGTGCTAGAGCTCCTTTTGGGGGCAGCAGAAGAGCTGGATTTTTAAAATCCAGACTCATTTGTTCATTCACTTATTCAGTCCACGCATTTTAAAAATACAACGAGCCACACATTATACAAGGTGTCGGGGACATTGAAGTGAGCACAGACCAGTCTTCTCCCTCAGAGCTCAGGAGGAGCTGGCTGGTGTGTGCAGGAGCTTGGAGGAGGCAGTGCTATAAGGGAGTGGGGTCCGTGGAGGTGCTGTCTGACCTAAGGCTTGCTCTGGGGTCTGTGCACAGTGTGCAGGGATGGGCAGCAACAGCAGGCAGTGGGTGGTGCTAAGCAAGGCCCAGAGGTGGCGCCTTCAGGGCTTGTAGGAGGGACTTGAGTCGGTAGAGAGCGGAGGGCACAGGGAGGAGACCCTCAGGAGGCCACAGGTGGTGGGCTGCTGGTGGACATGGGATGGGGAGCCCGGTGGGGAGGTGCATGCTGCAGAAGAGTGCTTTGGGAGCCTGCTTACCAGGTGAGAGCCGAGGAAGAGGGGCCTCAGTTACTTTTCTCTTGTTGCTGAGGCAAAATACCTGGCACCCAAAGTTAAAGGAGGAAAGGTTTATTTGGCTTACAGTCTGTAGAGGTTCAGTCTGTATCAGCTGGCTTCAAGGCAGGGTGGTTTGGCAGAGGAGAAACAGTTCATGGTGTAAAGGCAGTAAAGCAGGCAAGCAAGCAAGGGGTGACCACAGCTCTTCCTGTCCCTTATACCTTATGCAGGCTACTTAGGGTGGACAGCACTCACACCCTTAATCCTAGTGCTCCTGATCCCAGCACTGCACTGTGAATCAATCCCAGTGCCACATACTCTAGACCCAGCCACCTCTGAAGAGCCCACCTCTGACCTCATAGGTCCTCCTTCGGGAGACATATAGACACAAGCCATGACCGGAGGGGCCCAGACAGTGCTCCTCTTGGAAGCCAGGAGTGGGAGGGCTGCTGGAGGTGGAGGAGAACCCAGAATGTTGCGGCCCTGGAAGCCAGGCAGCAGAGTTCAGTGGCAGGGGGAGGCTGTCTCTGGCCCAACCCATCCTACCAAATCCTCTGCAGCCTGGGATCCCCCTCTATCCCCAGGGGTGGCACGTTCTGGGGAGGCAGAAACTCCTCCTGTATCTTAGCCAATGCTTCTCCTACCCCAGGCAGACTCTTCAGGGCCTGCAGCTGGGTCTGCCCCTGGAGGAAGAGATTCTGTCCCTCCCTGGAGACCTGGAGAGTCTGGGCAGGAGCTTCCAAAGCCTCCTAGTCATTTATCAGGACAAGAGGGCACAGTTTGAGAAGATAAGCAGCGCTGACCCTTCAGGTGAGGAGAAGATGCAGTGCATCAAGACCCCTGCTCCTGTCTGCTCCTCCCAGGCCCAGGCCCAGCTCCGTCGCACTCCTCTTCCCACAGGGACCTTCCGGATGCTGACTGAAGCCTATGAGCGGTCATCCCGGGCTGCCCAGCAGGTTTCCGACAGCTCACACTTGCTGCGCCAGCTCAGGGACAGCCGCAGAGAGGTGGAACGGCTGGAGAGCCAGGCACAAGGAGGAGGTGCATGGGGCTCTGAGCTCGCTGCCCTGTGGGCGGAGATGGCTTCCTTGCCTGACCTGACTCCCACCGTGCACAAGGTGACCACTTCTCCCAGCCCTGCCCCAGGCTCACACCGCTGCTGCCACACATGTGCTGTGAGGGTGACCGTCCCATCCTGACCCCGTGCCCCTCGTCGTGCGCTCTGGAGTTTCCAGGGAGACAAGTTCCTGGGGGCTTGGCTGTCATGGAGATGCCTGGCTGTTTGTGTCTGGGGTTCAATGAGGGTGGTTGTTGAGGAGCCTCTTGGATGCCCCTGTCTGTCCACAGGTCTGTGGCGGCGCCAGGCAGGCCACCTGCACCCCAGGAGCATGCCCTGGTGAGCTGTGTCCCCCAGATAACAGCACGGCCTGTGGCTCCCACTGCAGGGGCGCCATCCCCAGGGCGGGAGGGGCCTTCCAGGTGGCCGGACAGGTGGCTGAGCAGCTGCGAGGCTTCAACTCCCAGCTGCAGCAGACCAGGCAGATGGTAGGTGCAGAGCAGGTAGGCCTCAGGTGGGAGGCAGGAGGGACATGGAGCCCTGGGTGGGTCAAGAGCCTGAGGCCTAAATCCCTGCAGCAGAGCCAGAGGGGTTTGGAGCCAGGGTGTGGGCGCTTCCCTTAACCCCGCGCCTACGTCAGTTCCGGGGCCGCACCACAGCTTTGCAGATGGCTCAGGCGGTGGAGGCTGAGCCACAGGGCCCGGGGCTGTGGGGGCTTCCGCCCTGCTGAGCCCGTGTGTGCCAATAGATCAGGGCGGCTGAGGAAGCCACCCTGAGGGTCCAGTCTGATGCCCAGCGCCTGGAGACGCAGGTGAGCACCAGCCGCGCCCAGATGGAGGAGGACGTGAGGAGCACACGGCTGCTGGTCCAGCAGGTTCGGGACTTCCTCTCGGGTGAGCTGCCCTTCACACTCCTCCGGCTGATGTCCGGCCTCTGGCCTCCCTCATTCCTATCTCCCTGCCTGCTGTCACCTCTCCCAGGTGTGTGGCTGCATGGCCCAGCCCTCCCTGCCTGCTCCCTGGGTCTACTCTCAGCAGAACAGCCTTGCACCTTTGAAGTATCTAAGCAGGGTCACATCCGCCGCTCTGTAAGACTGCCTCACAGTCCTTGGGCAGCTTCACCTTGCTCCTGGATGAGTGCCCAGCTTCTTCCCTGGCCTGCAGAGCCCGCCCTGTCTGTCTCCTAGGCGTGGCCCTTGCTGCTCTCTCCTTAGTGCCCTGGCTGCCCTTGCCGCCTTGGCACTTGAATGTGCTCCTTCCGAGGTGGCTGCCTCAGGTCTTGGTCTGAAGCCCTCTGCCGGGCGAGGCCTTTCTGGGCCTCCCTGTGTGTGGTCGTCTTCTCCTTCCCTTCCCCTTCTGGGTCTTGCCTTTGCCCCCACCCCACTGGACTCTGGGTGTACTGTGTCTCTCCCCATTGGACTGTGCACCCCCAGGGCCGGGTGGCTTCCTCTGCGTGACTGTGTCCCAGCACCCGCAGATGGGCAGGCCCTGAAGCTTCCGGTGTTGCTGGATTGCACCATTGCTGCCCCGTGGAGGGGGGGACAGGGCTGTGCAGTGGGAGGTGCTGGGCAAGACTCAGCAGTCTTGTGTGACTCGGGCTTCGTGTTTTTTGTTTCTCTCATCTTTCACTTGCAAGTGGGATTGGTAGTATTTCACAAGTTTATTCTGAGGCTCAAATAACACGTAAAATGTGCTTTGAAAAATTCAAGGTGCCTCTGGAATGGGAGCTGATATTATTAGATTTCTGGTCCCTGCTGGGGAATTTGCTTGGCTGGGAGCCCAGTGAGGGTGGCTGAGGTCTCAGGGTAACCACAGTGTCTCCTCTGCTATTGCACAGTGCTTCTGCCCCAGCTAGGCTGGAGCTCTCTGCTGAGCGCAGGCGGCAGGTCAGGGAGATGCGGGAAGAGCCCATGGGCATCCATGGCTTGCCAACAGCCAGGGAGACTGAGCCAGTGAAGGGAGGGGTAGCCATGTCTGGGGTTTGGACCCCAGGGAAGGTGCTCTGCCCCACGTGCAGTCCAGGCAGGCTGAGTGGCCACTCATCTGCAGTTAGCTGCATGGGCCCGGCCCGGGCAGAGAGCTGGGGCTGGCTGAATTCTCTCCCTCCGCCTCAGCCCAGGCTCCTGTGGGCAGCAGCAATGGCCGAGCCATTGGGTCCTCTTGGTTATGTTGCGTCTGGGGTCAAGGCTGACGACAGTCCTAGGGAGAAGGAAAGAGTGCGACCGTCAGGGGCCCAGGACGCTTCTCACAGCCACCACGAGGAGGGGCTGTGGCAGGCAGCTCTGGGCCAGCTGCTGTTGACTCAGGCCCCCCTCCCAGGGATGTGGTGGGCACCAGAGGAGGTGTTGCCCCTTCTGGATTTTAAGCCGTTTAAGCCACTGTGGGCACAGCTCCCACTTGCTGTTTGTAGAGCAACACATAGTGCTGGGCCTGTACAGGGCTCGGACCAGCGTGCACGCACACAGTGACCCAGATCTGGGGCTGCCTCATCCCCGGAGGATTCTGGGAGAGGGTGTGGTGAGCCCTGTGGGTGTAGGATGCGAGCTAGAGGGGTGTGTGGGTGTCCAGTTTGTCACCCTCCTGAAGCCTGTGGCTGGGACGAGCCCCTAAGCAGGTGAAGAAGGCAGCAGTGATCAGGCATGGCTTCACTCCCGGGAGCTGGGGCTGGCTGGGCCGGGAGGCCTAGGGATGCTGAGGCCCAGTGCAAGGCCACTGGGTGGGCAAGCTCCTCCATCCACATCGGGAGCCTCCGTCTCTCCACTTCTGCCTTACTTGGAGTCAGTTTTGTAAAGCTCTTGCTGGATGGTTGTTTCCGGTCATACTTTTAGGATGGGGATCCTTAGTCCCCTTTCACAGGTGGGAAACAGGCTGGAGGGACCCCTTGTCTGGTCCAGCATGGTTTAAAGGAGAGACCAGGGTCTCGAGCCCTTTGTCATTCATCGGCTCACAACACTGAGGGCCTCCAGGTGCCAGGCACTGTGCTCGGGGCCAGGGGATGTAGGGGATGGACAAAGCCCGGTCCGTGTTCCCCAGAGCCAAAGTCAGATGAAGGAGTGCAGGGCCCACAAGTGGGTGTCTGTCTCTAAGCGCCGGGAGGCAGAGGAAGGAGGGGGTTTGGAGCGCCCGCTGGCCCAGGGAGGCGGCGATCCAGCTTGGATGGCAGTCTGAGGCAGTGACCTTCGGGTGGAGGCGGAGCTCTCCAGCACAGGAGGGGCGGAAGGACAGGGCCTCACTGTTCCCGGCCGCTCGCTGGTGATGGTGGATGCGTGGCGGGCATTGTTCAGCACCAGCTGCCCGGCACCGCCTCTCCCCTTAGCTTCCTGAGCACTCTCAGTTGCCACAGCTGTGCAGACCTCCTCCCCTCCTCTTCCTGTCTCCCATCCTCCTCCCACATCATTCCCGGAAGTCCCGGCCAAGTCAGGATGAGGGGAAATAGCTCCCTGGGCACCCAGCAGAGGGGCCAGGGAGAGGCCTGGGCCCGGAGGGGCCGCCGACCCTGTGGCTGTGGGCTCCCCAGGCTGACAGTGGCTGCCTTTCCAGACCCTGCTACAGATGCTGCCGCCATCGAGGAGGCCAGTGAGGCTGTGCTGGCTGGGCTGCTGCCTTCAGACTCGGCGACCATCTTGCGGAAGATGAGGGAGATCCAGGCCATTGCGGCCAGGCTGCCCAATGTGGGCCTGGTGCTGGCCCAGACCGAGCAGGACATTGCACGGGCCCGGAGGCTCCAGGCTGAGGCTGAGCAGGCCAGGTGCGGCCCTGGGCTCTCTTGCCCAGGTTGGGGCAGCTGTGTTGAGGGGCTGGCACCCAGCAGGGCTCTGCAGTGACACCCTCGTCCACGTGCCCTGCAGCACAGGACCTGCCTCCCACAGGTCGCTGTGCCCAGTGCTGTCTCAGGCACAGCACTCGCGTCCACCGGGGCTGACAGCCCCTGTGCCTGGTCCCGCTGGGATGGGTGTCACTGGGTTGCGGTGCTCACTTCCTGCTGCTCATCCTGCTCTCCTCCCTCCTCCTGGGCCCTCACTCAGGATCCACGCCCACTCTGTGGAAGGCCAGGTGGAAGACGTGGTGGGGAACCTGAGGCAGGGCTCAGCGGCACTGCAGGAAGCTCAGGACACCATGCAAGGGACTGGCCGCTCGCTGCAGCTTATCCAGGACAGGGTTGCTGAGGTGAGGCGTCCTGGCTCCTTGCTGAACCGGGGATGGACAGACAAATCCAGGCATAGGCACAGAGGATTCTGGAAAGTGACCGGTTCACCACACAGGAGAAGGCAGATGACAGACTTTGGGAGTTTTCCTATCTCTCTGAGATGCAGAAAGCAGGGGCAGGCGGGAGCAGTGGAACGGAGAAGGGGGGCCTGGGTGTCAGTGGACAGTGGGGTTTCAGAGGACACCACTGAGGTTCTTCAGTGGGGAGACTGCCACCTGCCACCTGCCGAGTGGGGCGGATGAGGGGAGATTGCTCGCTGTCTGGAGCCCACTGCCACCCCAGGTCCCCCTCCTTTGTACAGGTGCAGCAGGTCCTGGGGCCAGCAGAAGGGCTGGTGATGGGCGTGACAGAGCAGCTGGGTGGCTTCCAGGCACGGATGGAGGAGCTCCAGCGCCAGGCACAGCGGCAGCGGGCACAGGCAGCCCAGGCCCAGCAGGTGGCGGAGGACGCCAGCCAGAGGGCCCTGAGTGCGCAGGAGGTATGGAGAGGGCAGAGCAGCCTGCCAAGGGCTCCGAAACAGGAGGGACCTTTGAGACCATGGAACCAAATCACAGATGCCTGTGATCCCAGCACTCTGGGAAGCTGAGGCGGGAGGGCCACAAGTTCGAGCCCAGACTGAGCAACTTAGTGACTTAGTAAGCTTCTGTCTCAAAGTAAACATTTAAAAAGGCTGAGGATCCAGCTCAGTGAGAAGGCCCTGGGCTAGCTTAGTGGATTCAGTCTCTAGTACTGCACACACACACACCCCACAAATAAAAAGAATAAGAAAGGTGAACCCAAAGTTAGCCAGGCATCTGAGTCCACCAAGAGCCTGTGCCTTGTGCGCTGTCTGGCGCATGTCTCGGCCCCAGGCTGGTCAGACGCTCTGCCTAGATGTCACCCTGGGGTCTGCCTTATGTTCTGTCCGGGGTTCCGAGGATGGCCGGGGAGCTGCCCTGGGCCTGGAGTACCCCAGCTTCCCTGGGGCAGGGCGTCGGCACACGATCGGCCCACGACCACCTTCCACCGCCTCCTGTTACTGACGGCACTGAGCCTGTGGTGAGGGAGTGGAGGGAGGGAAGCTCCGAAGGTTAAGCTGCCACCAGGGCCCAGAGGTCGCACAGGTGAAGCCAGCCCTGGTGGACAGTGGGCGGCCCTTGTCACCGGCGACCCCGAGTGCTTCAGCCACTGGCGGCTGGGATGTCGAGGGTCTCGAGGTGACACCAACTACCTCCTTCAGGGATTTGAGAGAATCAAGCAAAAGTATGGGGAGCTGAAGGAGCGGCTGGGGCAGAGTTCCAGGCTGGGTGAGGCGGGCAGCCGGATCCACAGTGTGCAGACCACGGCCGAGGAGCTGTTCGGGGAGACCATGGAGATGATGGACAGGATGCAAGGTGAGGGCGGGCGTGTGTACCCCAGGGCCGCTTCCCACCCCACAGGGGCCGCTGTGCACTCAGCAGTTCCAGCCGCCCCGAAAGTGTGCCGGAGCCTCACACCAGCGGCCCGCAGAGGCCGCACTCCCTGTCTCTCCAGCCGCGTGACACTGGGCACCAGGAGGCCTGTGGGGGGGCACGAGGAGAGCCTGGGTTCTGAGGATGAACACTTCCGGGGGTGGGGGTGGGACATTCAGGAAAGACGATGCTGGAGGTGGGCTGGAAGGAAGTGGAGGCCGGGGGACTGTGCTTGCAGGGGGCAGGAAGGAGAGGCTCGGGTGTGAGTGGGGCTTCTGGACAGGGGAGGACCGCTCTTGGGAGGAGTGCCTGAGGGTGGAATGAGGAACCATCTTGGGCTTCCGATGTGGCAGGGGCGTGGTCGCAGCCTATGACTTCTCTCCAGATGGAGGGACAGGGTCCTAGCTGCCAGTCCAACTCTGAGGCGGGCTTCCGGGCTGGTGTCCAGTGAGTTCCCCACAGAGCAGTGGTCGGCAGAACTGTCTTGGGTGGCCGGGTAGACACCACAGGCAGTCGGGGTGCTGCGCTCACGGAGCCAAGGTGAGGCTGGAGGATGAGGCAGGAGGAGTTGCTGTTCGAGGAAGAGCCAGTGGCTGGGGCAGCACTGAAGCTGAAGACTTGTTTATTAGTTCTGTGGACGACAGACGAGTGCACCAGACGACAGAAAAGGTGTCTGGGGCAGTTGCAAAGTCAGAATGGACGGGTCGGGATTAAATCAGGGCTCCTCGACTTTGGCCTTGTTTGGCTTCTCCACGAGGATGGTCAGGCGAGGCCAGGCTCCTCGGCGGCCCGTGTCGCGAAAAACACATTATAGTAAGTACCTGGTAGGCAGATAGGAGTCGTTCCTTGCCTGGAAACACCCAGGCGTTCTGAGTGCTACAAGCCTGGTGTGAGCCAGTGAATTCTTGCTTCTGCCCAAAGTGCTGCTGAACACAAAGCACTCAGGTAAGGAGAGTCAGCTCAGGAGTGACGGGGATGCCATGACCTCCCAGGACAGGTGTGGTGGGAGCCTGGAAGGTATTGACCTGCTTGCGGGGCCTTACCTTTGGTTGGAGGGATGAGGGTGATCGTGACTGGGCTCCTCTGGGAGGGGGCTGTTTAACAACCGCTGTGGATGCTCCTCGGGATTTCATCAGCCTGGAGTCCTGGGCACTGTGGTCTCCCAGGCGTGGCCTTGCAGTGGTGGTTGCTGCATCTTCAGAGAGCCATTGGCACACGTGCACATGTTGGTAGAGCGTGGCCGGCAGGGGCCGGGAGGCAGGGATTCAGCAGTTACATCAGGGGAGGAGCTGAGCTGCTGACCCGAGGAAATCTAGCTTCCAGTGGTGATTTCCAGAGGGAGGTGGGCGGGACCAGGTCAGCTGTCCAGGTTATCACCAGGGTACCCATTTGGGGGTCACTGGCGGGGCGGCAGCTGTTGAGGGCACTGGGCAGGTGTCTTGGTGCCAGTGAGGGGTCGTCGGCCCGGAGCGGAGGACAGGCTTAGGGGCTCCAGGTACCTGGGGCGGCAAGGCCCCCGAGGAAGGACAGAGTCTCCATGTCTCACCCTGCCCTGCCCTGGCTGTGCCCACCCCTCAGACATGGAGTCGGAGCTGCTGCGGGGCAGCCAGGCCATCATGCTGCGCTCGGCGGACCTGACGGGGCTGGAGAAGCGTGTGGAGCAGATCCGTGACCACATCAATGGGCGTGTGCTCTACTATGCCACCTGCAAGTGAGCTGCGCCCTCCCGGCACCCCTGCTCCAGGGAGCAGATGGAGGTGGGCTGTGTCCTGGCTTCTGGAGACTTTGATGCCACCTGCAGTGCAGCCCTGGCCCCTGTGTGCAGCTGTCGGGGTCGCCTGCTGCTCCTGAGCGGGGGCCACTGCACTGAGGGACAGAGGCAGTGAGGTGGACTGAACTGGTCAGTGAGGTGGTCAGCTGGAAACCGAGGGAGCTGGGCAGGGCAGTATTCCACCCCCGTCCTCCTGAGCTGTGGATCCTGGACCAACACAGAAACTTAATAATCATGTACAAATGAAAAAGCCCAATAAAAGTCTCTGGAAAGGTACCTGGAGTTTCAGAGAGGGAAAAGTGTCCGTCCGCCATTCGTTGAGCCTTTGTCCTGTCCCAGGGAGCTCAGGAGCAGGGCTGCCGTCCTCACTCAGTCTGCATGCAGAGCCGGAGCTTAGGGAGGCCGGACCTCTTCCCAGAACAGAGACACTGCGTGTGGGGCCAGCTCTGTGTCAGAGGGGGAAGCACTGTTTTCAGACTCATCCGGCTCCGTGAGGCAGGACTAAGACCAGGATGTGTCTCCTGGGATCTCAAGGGAAGTCGCAAATGTGTACGTGTGTCTGTGTGTGTCTCTGTGCGTGTGGACACGTGTCAGGCAGTGTGGAGTGGCGTGAGCTTCCCGTGTGTGCTGACCGCATCCGGGCACTCTCGCGTCTCCGTCGCTCATCCGCGGTGGAGCACCGCAGTGCCTGGCATCGCCTGCCTGTCCTCACGATGCAGGCGGCACTGTCTTTCCCACCAGGAGAGGAAGCCAAATAGCTGAGCTCTCGGACGGGCGTGCAGGTGGGGGCCTCGCCTCTGGCTCTGATCCAGGCTGCAGGCTGCACAGAGCCCACCCAGCGTCACTGGGCACGAACTGTGGCCCCAGCACCAGCCTGGCACACGCAGGCTCCTACCACATCCTCTGCCTAGCTGGCCTCGAGCTGCCCATGTGCTGTCCACTCCAGCCAGATGTGAAGTCCTTGAGCTGCCTCTGACTTTGGAAGAAGCAACGAAAGCCTCATAGAGAAAATATGTTCACTTTATTAAGCACAACACAGAGCGTGGAGCTGGAGGGCTGGGGTGGGAGCAGGACCACTCCGCCGCCTTTCAAGGAGAGAAGAGAGCAGAGGCAGGGTGGGGGCTCCTGGCTGAGAGGAAAGCGGTCAGCTTCGGGCACACCTGGGGCCGGTGGAGAAGTCCTGGGGCCCATCCTGGACTCCTTTCCACCCCACCTTTGGAGCGCGGCACTGCTTTTAGGTGGAGGTGCAGGGAGGGGCCCGAGGTGCCGTGGGAGTGAGGGCTGGAGGTTAGGGTGGGAGCTGCACGCCCAGCCCGACCCAGGGAGCTGCCTGGCACTCATGCAGGGGCAGAAGCTGCAGTTGTGAGCCTGGTCTGGCCGGAGCGAGCGTGAGCAGAGCCGGATGCAGAGCGGAATCTCTGTATGGCTTTGCTTGGAGATGGCGGCACAGCCTGGCCAGCTACGAAGCTTTTCACGAGAAACAGGCCCAGGCGAGCACCATCTACCTACACTGTGCAGGGCGTGGGCGCAGGGTGTGGGGCAGCTGGTCAGAAGATGCTGCTCTTGGCCCTCAGCCTCTTCAGCTCCCAGGAGCCTCCAGGTGGCTGCTGCTTCCGGAACTGCTCCCACCGGGCCCTGCTCGCTGGCTCGGCCTCCTCCCTCTGCAGGTAGAGGCCAGGGCTGGAGGGCAGAGAAGAGCTGAAGTCTCCTGCGAAAGAAAGTGGTTTGGTTCCTAGGGTGGAAGCTGTGCCTGTGCCCCGTCCCCAGGCCTGTCGGCCTCACCTGAAAACCACAGTCACACGGACGCTGGCTCCAGGATCACATGATGAGACAGACCCCGGTCTGCCCTGCCCGGCAGTGGGAGCTGCCGCTGGCTTTAACTGGCACCAGGACCTCGGACTTGAAGTTCCTGCAGGGGAGACAAAGCCCTGAAGCTTGTGCAGGCGGAGGGAGCATGGGTGGGTGGGGTTAAACCCTCCATGCCACAGCGTCCACCCGCTGTCCCTCAGGAGGCTCAGACAGCACAGGTCCCTGGGAAGACACACAGGCCGGCCAGCACCCACCCCAACCTGGAGGCTCCGGAAACTCGGGGAACCCAGGGTGCCCCACACTTGGGGACTGAGGCGGTACATCTGCCCATCCACCCTTTTCACAGACACGTGGACTGGATCATCCACCCGCGTGCCTGGCAGTGGCCACACAGCTGGTGGTGGACAGGGCTGGACACTCATCCTGGGCCCCAGTCCAGCCTCTTCCCACCCTTCACGCCGCCTGAGAGGCCCTTTGGCCAAGCTTTTGAGTCTTGTTCCCTGAGTTTCCCGACTGCTGAGCAGGGCTGGGAGGTGTGCCTGCTGCTCGCTTACTGTTTCCTGTTGGCTTTTCTGAGCAGTGTGGGCTCGGAGCAGTAGGAGGACTTCGCTTTGCTGCCGATGCTCAGGCAGCTGGAGCAGCAGCCGCAGGGCCCGGCCAGTGGCCCCTGCTGCATGGGCACCAGGCTGCCGCTGATACGCAGGGAGCCGTTGACCAGGC